ATGGCCTCAAACCTACTAGCAATGGCCTCCAACCTACTAGCAATGGCTTCCAACCTACTAGCGATGGCCTCCAACATCCTCCAACGTAATAGCAATGGCCCTCCAACCCAACCTAACAGCAATGGCCTCCAACCTAATAGCAATGGCCTCCAACCCACTGGCATGCCCCCCCAACCTAACAGCGTTGGCCTCCAACCAAATGGCAATGGCCTCCAACCCACTAGCAATGGCCTTCAACCTAACTGCAATGGCCTCCAACCTAATAGCAATGGCCTCCAACCCACTAGCAATGGCCTCCAACCTAATAGCAATGGCCTCCAACCTGCAAGCGATGGCCTCCAACCTAGCAGCAATGGCCTCCAACCTAATAGCGGTGGCCTCCAACCTGGTTTTATGTAAGAGATCTAAACAAAAATCTATTCTGGAGTTTGGGTTTAACGAGGTCATCAATTCTGGATTTTGAGGGTGAATGACAAAGCAAAAGGTTTCAAGAACCGCGTGCATTGTCAGGGGAAAACAAAACATCCAAAACAATTGCACCTTTATCTTTGATGTAAGCTTTAGCCTTATGCTCTTCCTGTGTGCTTCAGAGGTTCCATCATTTTGAGACCAAACCTCGAAACGCTACAACCTGACACGTGCTCACACGGTGAGGTCAGGTTTAGATGCGGCCATTCTACCACCCATCTGAGAGAAGGTCCGACGAGGAGCTGAGCAAAAGTTGCACGTCGACCAAGGAGAAGTGGGGAGGGAAGTTGAACAAATCGTCATCATCCTGACGTGCGAACTTGCATCGTTCAATCGGCACTCACTGGAAGAAACTCCCTAACCATCGTCGCACCTGACAGTTGACTGTGAGAGGAAAAGGAACTCCGCGTTTTCATGGGTGTTGCCTAGTGATGCAACTCCATCACAAAGCAACGGACATGCGGCATCATTCATTGAAATTGGTGGTGACACAGTTTGGCGATATCAACTGATACTGAACTTTGAGCGGTGCTACAACTCCACCGCTACTATAACCGCTGCTGTAACTCACTGTGTAGTTTGTGCAAACAGCTTCAGAAAGGCCCGGTCATCGACTTCCTTTTACACAGTCCTTGATGCCTTGAACACCTGTAGCCTGCAACAAAAACAGGTTCCGCTGCATCTGGGCCTCATCTTTCTCTGCTTCTTGGGCAGGTGCTTGCACCTCCCAAGTCGAGAACAATCACCCAGCTGCCCTACCTACCAACAAACAATGGCTAGTTTCCTGCACTGCAGTTCTACTACTAGTAGAACGCCTCCCACATGGATTCAACCCCCAAGGACCGGTTTCGCCTCCTCCTTTTTCGCCTCTTCCTTCGTCTGGAGGCTTTGGATCGCATTCACCGCGCTGCCCACCGCCACGGAGTCCCGTGCTTGACTCCACAAGTTCACTGCGTAGCGCCGGACGAGGACGAAGACGGACCGACGCTCGGGGGGATGAGAGTGAGTCATCCGAGGCTCAGTCACGGCCACGGGGTCACGGTCATGGGTCCATGGGAGTCCATGGGTCCAGTGGGCTGTGATGAGATGTGATGTATGTCATTCCTTGCATGTGCGGTGTGGATGTTTAGGAGCTGAAATGGCCTCCTGAAAGGTTGCTGGTCCAATACTGAAAGGTATACTGACATTCACAACCAAATGTGTGTCAGAATGTTAATTGGTTCCAAGTGGAATCTAGCATCTATTACCTTTCAAAACATGTTTGTTTGTTTTGGCGCTTCACTATGGCTAGGAAAAGCCCGTCTTGCTCGTGCATAAGAATATACCTATGACCTGACCTGATTCATGACATCATTTCATGTGCAGGGTCAGGGCCACTGTTAGATCTTCCATTGATCGTTTGCGGGCTGGACTTCTGCTGTATCTCACGGTCAGTGAGGCAAACCCGCCATCAGCCACTATCAAGTTCACTGAAGAACAAATAAAGCTGGTGGCAATCTTCCTGTCCATTGCCAAGTTACTGGTCAGTTTCCAAAGGATGTGACATAGTTTGTGATGTAATATATATATATATAATATGTATATGATATTATATGATTGTATATTGGCATGGTATATAACCTCGCCATCACTATCCTAATAACTCCTAATAAGAAGCCGAACGTGACCTACCACCCCAGCGTCACAGCGTCCACAAAAGCCCTCGCCTGCCGGACTTGCGATCTCAGGTGCCTGTAGAGGCGACTGAGCAATGACCACTCCGAACAACACTGAACGAATGATCAGCATGTGTGAAAAGGATTGTCATCTACACCCCTTCAGAAAATCAAAGCTCCAACATATCGATCTTCATAGGCCAGTCAAAACTCCTCAAAAGAGAACACCTGTAGCATGAAATCTTGCGCATGGTATGTCATAGAAGAAGCTAACACATCCATGCTAGAACATAGTATGGAACTATCCTTGACCCCGAAAAAAATCAAGGACATCGGACAAACCTCAAAAGCTTGACCAACATGGAGCTAAGCAGTCTTTACTGGCAACCCAGTCTGCCTTCTCCTCCGTCTTTACCACCTGGCACGCCAACGGTGGATGCACGACACAGCTTCATCACCGGTGCACAGACGAACCTGCTCCCCGGTGCCAGACCGAAGGACTCATGCACCCTACTTCGATGAAGGGCCGAAAAAGAAACAGGAACAATGCCGAAGACCAGATAGCAACATCCTCTATTGTTTGTTTTCCTTTCTGGTCTCATCACTCCCTTCGTATCTTGCCTCGTTCTTCTTGGGCTTGGGTTTCTTCTTTTTCTTCTTCATCAAGAATTTCCCCTGGACACCAGGAGCGATTGGAGCAAGCGAGGCGGGTGCAACGTTGGCCATGTCTGCGCATGTCTGTGCATCGGCCATGGGTGTGCCAATTCATCCATCAGCTTCAAACACCAAACGCCTCAACGCCAGTCCAAATATCTTTCAGCTCCACAGGGACCTCGGACCAACGACCAGGTCCAATGTTGATCAATTTGCTAAAGGCTTCTTGAAACACATTCATAAAGGTAGGTAGATAGATAGATAGATTATGATAGATTAATAGATTATATAGGTAGAAAGACGGATATATAGATAAAGGGGGGCTCATCAGTTGGAGCCCCTATAGTGCCTTCAACTTTCTCACCAACCGAGCAAGAAACATTGAAACATAATGCAACAAAAGGCAACACTAAAAAGTCATGTGGTGAGTGACATGATTTGGCAATGTAGAATCGACAAGGACATGACAACAAGCGGCTCTTTTTGAGGAAGTGAAAAAAGACTCCTGACTCTGCACCTGCATGAAGCAAAAAGGTGAAGGGCTCTTGGGGAAATGGGATCCTAGGCCAGTCCCACTTCCTCCGAAGTCCGCTTTTGGCTGGTCCAAGAGGCTGACAAGCTGTTGAGATCACGGCAAATGGCTTGTTGCTGCAACAAGGAGCTGGTGACCGTGAAGTCCTTTCAAGCTGCTGGGAGGATGGCGCTGGGAAAACGCTCCGCCGTTCAAGATCGTTCAAGGCTAGGGAGACCTCTTGGTAATATGAAATGCTCTTTGATTGGAGGCTCTCCCCCCACTCTCCAAGACGCACACAAAGTTCCGTCGGTGATCTCTCTCATGTACACAGTCGTGCATAGTTTCAACCAACGCTGGACCCTCCTCATTGGCTGGCCATGGCTTCTTCGCATGCATCGCCACCTGCGGGTTCGTCGTCGCGGGGCCGCGCGAAGCCACATCGGGCAATCGGGAAGCGCCAAGTATTCCCGAGAAACGGTGTAGGTCGATGTGTCATTCAGAAGGGTAGGTCCCACTGCAGGTGTCAAAGACTGTTGTAATACCATCCACCACTGCCATTGGACCACCGGACAATCCTGATGGTCCAGTGATTCTTTTACAAACTCTGAAACTCGTCTTGGGGGGAAACAAAGCGACTATGTGACAAAAATATACTTGGCGAAACCCTCGGGTTTAACCGGTTTGCAAAGCATTGGCATAGCACGCTTGATTGGATCCACAGTGAAAACATGTCTCTGAACGCAAGAAAGCCAGTCATCTAATTTCACCATGATGGACCACGTTTTAAAAGATTCCGGAAGAACATGACTTTGTTCCATGAAAAGGACGTGAAACCTCGGAACCGTCTCCTGGCGGGTCTGTCTTCCACGCAAGCACCCCATACCGTGGCAAGTTGCAAAACGGCCGGGCATCACATCATTGACCTTAGAGAGTCGTTGCTCGGGCACCGGTCGTTCACTGACTTGGGAAAAAAAGGTAGCAGGCAAACATAGGCAAACATTCAGACACATAGAGAAACCATACTAAGAATCCTACAGTGAAGGTGGGCTTAATGAGCATGCTTCAAAGTGACGGAACCTCCGTAAGCATGGACGTCGTAAGAATAGATAGGTGGGGATCCCCGGCACCAAGGATCCATTGGAACACACCGGTGTTGGTGTGCTGGATCCCACATGATGCACAAAATGGATGCAAACGATATTTGGTTTTCGATTGTTTTCCCCAAGCTCACCAGCAAGCAAGTGACAAGTGACACAATGGAAGCTTAAACTTAAACTTGAGCAACATTGTGGGGCATGCTTCTGGAATCTGCATTCCTTCCCAGCCTAGGTGCAAACAGTGACTCCCAATTCCCAACTCGCCCTTGCGCCACCGCAAACGTGTCACATTAGAACTCCAACAGTTGCGAGTTCGGTCGCCCTTGTTGAATGCATCGTGCATTTTTAGTTGCCAAATCAATCCAAATCTTCAGCACTACCAAGGCCATCCACCGACCGACTGCACCAAGCGCAGTAGCCCGCTGAGAGATGCTCTTGTCCGCTGCCTTCCGCAGTCGCCGTCGCTCCAGCACGCGCATCTTCGTTAAGAGGCGAAGCAGCAGCTCCTTGGCGCCACAGAGGGGGACTGTCAGAGCCTTTTTGAAAGCAGAAACTGAAAGCAACCACCCTCAGAGACAAACATGTTCTTACAATCTGGCGGTTGTCTTACATGTTTGATTAAGGGCAAGATGGATGGCATAAAGATCAGCACGTTGAATTCACGCAAGTGTTCTGAACTCAGGGGCAAGTGTTGAGAGTTCATGATGCCGTCAGCGAATCCAAGTCCGTTCGCACCGCGCCAGGCCTGACATCCCCACCCATCCGATGATCCCGCTCCCGGTACCTCCGAACCGTGGCTCTCTGTGTACCGCTCGGGGTCCAAGTGGCCGCGGCTCTTTGCTCCAGGTGCCGCACCTCCTGAGCTTCAGCCTGCAACTCATCCAAGTGCCTTGGGGCGATTCAGCCGTCAGCTCCGGTGGGCTCGTATGACAAGGGGCCAAGCTGGTATGACTTAGTGTGTGGCAATCGGATCTGCTAGGGATGAATGGCTGCGACCACACACACGCATATATATATATATATATCACTGTATATCACAACTATATGACTATCACAATCATACCCCCATCATATTCCATCACACGTCAAGATCATCAAGAGACAAATAGCTTAGCACTCCTTGGCTGCAGCAACTCGGCAACTCCTGTTGGACACTCCTTCGCGATTCTACAGCTTTTGGGCACAGCCGAGCCATCGAATTTGCTTGACCAAGCTGCTCCCTCGCATGGCCCAGGAAGGTCATAATCTGTTCCTCCATGTGACCTTGTCGCTGGCCCATCTGAGCTCTCCCCAACCAGGTTGTAGAACACTCAGACACAGGTTTTGGTCCACAGTGTCTACACCCTCTTCTGCATCACTGGTAGGATGTAAAATAGTCGGTCAAAGACCCACAACCAAATGGCGAGCCAAAACCCCTGTTTGGGATGTGTGCCCTGTCTACATCTGCTCACTGGCCTTCCTACTTGGCAAAGCGTACTTGTCGACACAACATCCTTGGGCGGGAGGTTCGGTTTCGGAAACACCGTGCTGTCTTCAGCCAAAGATTAATCCACACGGACAAGTGGGACGTCCATATCGCGCTCCACCTATGAGGTCTATGAGGTCTTTGACCCGAAAGCCAGATCGTCCCCAGTTCTGCAACGTGTTTTCTCGGCGCTCCACGACTGGAGATGACAGTCCTCCGAGCAGCTGCTGCGTTTGGCGTTGAAGGAGATGCGTCGGTGAGGCGAGCCGCCTCCAGGAGCCATCGAAGGAGTGGAGGTGACCTGCATGGGCAATGCTTCCAGGTGAGGAACCTTTTGTGCTCTCCAAGCCCAATTGACCGAAAGCATGGCTGTTGTAGCAAAGTCCCATAGCTAGTGGTGCATCTGTACGAGTACCATGGCTTTTGGATCGAACTGTAGTCACTGTAGTCAAACTCTATAGGATCGAAACTTCGCATTGGGTTCGCATGTCCAGTTTCAAGCAAAAGTTTGCCGTCTGGACACGTCGAGAGTTGAATGTTTCGAAGGATGCAGATTGAGTTGGCACAATCATGATCAAGGAATCTCACAAGGTCCGAGAAACCATGACAAAACAAATGATACCCCCCCCGCGACCCCAGTAGTTTGCCATAGTTTGCCTCTTTTTCCTGACTGCTTGCATTTTATTAAGCTATAGCTAGTTCAAGCTACAGTACAGGCTCATCACTCCCCAAACGAGGTGCTCCGTTTGCCACAGGCTTGTCGGGGATCCGTCACTTTCGTCACCACCCCAAGAACTCTGGGCAGCCCAAACAGGCGACAGCTAGCAAACCAAAAAAAAACCTCCAAAAGAACAATAATGATCAAGAATTAGGTTAGAGGCCATCATTGCTATTAGGGTGCAGGCCATCGCTACTAGGTTGGAAGCGATCGCTACTAGGTTGGAGGCCATCGTTACCAGGTTGGAAGCGATCGCTACTAGGTTGGAGGCCAATGCCATTGGAGGGCATCGCTACTAGGTTGGAGGCGATCGCTACTAGGTTGGATGCCATCGCTATTAGGTTGGAGGCCATCGTTACTAGGTTGGAGGCCATCGTTATTAGGTTGGAGGCCAATGCTATTGGAGGCCATCGCTACTAGGTTGGAGGCCATCGTTACTAGGTTGGAGGCGATCGCTACTAGGTTGGAGGCCATTGCTATTCGGTTGGAGGCCATCACTATTCGGTTGGAGGCAATCGCTAGTAGGTTGGAGGCCATCGCTATTAGGTTGGAGGCCATTGCTATTACTATGAAGCTCGGAACCTACCTGACTCCCATCGAGATGTGGGGAGAGCATGGCACATTGCGGTGCTCGGTGCGCATCTGAGCGGCGTTTCAATCCCACGGCCTGGATGCGGCGACCACGCTCTGTGGGTAGACCACCTGAGATGGCGAGGAGATCACACGGGTTGGTACAGGACGTTTGCTCCTCCATTGCTGGGCATAGCATGCCAAGTGTGCTGGGCGTTTTCACGATTACAGCAATATTCAATGGTCTTCGGTTCAGGTTCTACATGGGTCTCCGCAAGTGCTTGCTTCGCTACAACAATCCAAACGTGTGGAAGTATTATTGACCTACACTTTAGGGTCTGGGTGGGCCTCTTTAATGTGATGTTCCTGTGTTCTTAGCCTGGGACCCTTGAGACTATTTGTAAAACCTTCAAGACTATTTATACATATTGTTGGAATTCTTGCCTTATCTTGAGCCCATATTGTAACTTTGAGAGGCCTTCAGTCAAATAAGAAGGAAACAATGAAGCACACAAGAATTTTGGAACCGCCGCACAAGCAGCTCAAGCTAATGTAGAAACCATGGCAAAGAGGAGAAGGAAAATAAAGGTCATTCGGAGGATCCGTGTGAAGAAGGCAAAGAAGCTCAAGGACTACCGCCACCTGCCCCCTCCCCCACCACCCCAGACACATCCCCGACCACCGCCACCACCACCACCACCCCCACGACCACCCTTGCCACCTCCACCCCCTCCCCCAGCACCAGTTCACCCACCACAAGCATCAAAAGCACTTCCACCAACCCCACCAAAGCCACCACTGAGACGAAAATCTCAGCCGAGACCCCCGCAGTTCCTACCAAGAACAATTCCAACCCCAGCAGCAGCAGCCACACCAGCAAAGGGACAGTCCAGCCAAAGATGAGCTGGGATGGAGACTCAGTTGAATTGGCAGCCGCATTGGCATGTACTTTTCGACGCCAACCTGGCCCAAGTTTTTTTCTCCAATGCCTTTGGTTGGTATCAGCAGTGTATTCAATTTAGTGATGAGTGATGTTCATGTAACAAGCAACACTCCCAAACTTCAAGAGGGAACATGTGGTTTGTGCTGTTGTTTCCGGGGCTTCTTTTTGACTTCGCCCGTGCTGATCATGGCCTCCAGACCTGATGATGAACAGAGACATGGTTGAATTGAAGTATTTGTTTGTGTGTGTTTGGTCCATACAAGTAGGGGTCAATGTCAATGCCTGTGTTCTGCAAGTACTTTGTTCAAGTTTACAGGTTACGGTTCATGGTTTACAGTTTACTTGTTCCTGCACAATGTAGACCTGTGGGACCCTTGCATTATACCCAACTTGAGTGATGAAATCAACTGGCCAGCTCATTTCTCAAAAATGATGTTTTCCGGTTTGATCTGATCTGATCTCAGGATAGATGATGAACCTCGTCATGGCCCAGTTTCGTTACCAGCATGGTCGACCCTTGCATTTTACCCAGTTTGAGTTTGAGTGATGAAATATATGAAATCAACTGGCCAACCAGCTCATTTGTCAAAAATGATTTTAGCCGGTTTGATCAGATCTGATCTCAGGATAGATGAGGACGATCTTCGTGGCCCAGCACCGACATTCTTGAACTGGGCAAGTCTCTACATCGAAGCCCTTGGAATCAAGTCAGTGAAAGACTTACTGCCTCCAAAGTTGCTTGGCTCACACTCAACCAGAACAGTCAAAGGTTTAAACCAACCTGCGGAACCTGCGGAAAGTCTAGAGCCCTTGAACAAACTCGAAGAGATTGCCTCTTACTGCCACAGTGCACTAGTAAAGCTACAGTTACAGTAGACTGACTAGACAGGGGAGTTAACACCACCGCCACATGAGGTTGCACCTCGTAGAGGGGTGCGCTGGTGCTGCAACTGGCACCTATGCAATGCTACTTGTCTCATCTTGTCTCCAGATGCAGACGTAGATGAGATGTCTGGATATTTGAGTTTGAGTTCACTTTAGATTCCAAGTGCAACTTCTGCCCCAGCCCTAGCTCATGTTCATGCCAAGGCGTGACATCAGTGGTGAGTTGGCAGTGCAAACAAGAACAACGGCTTTTGAGATTTCTCCGTTCAAGCAAGACTTCATCAAGCGGAACTATCCAATCACCAGCTTCTCAGCTTCTGAATTGGAGCATGAACAAGTGGCTTCCAGGAACAATGGAACAGTTGTGGGACGACTGCCAGTAGACAACAAAAACGGAGAATGAGAGAGACACATGTTTTGGGTTCCTGTTCTGTTCTGCCAGATGAAATTAGTTATAATTGATATTATTTATATCGAATCATAAATCATATATTATAGAATATTATTAATAATAATATAATATATGATGATAGGTAGCAGTGATGATAGCCTGGATAGCCACCAAACTGTAGACTTGGTAGACAGAAGTCCGGTTTCAGTCAAAGGCACGAACTGCTCATGCTCACCTGTGTGTACTGAGTCAGCCATTTGTATAGCGACCTGGCATGCACCTTGACTGGCTTTGGCTGGTGCCACCTCCATAGCAAGTTCTGTGGCTTTGATCCTTGTGGTTCACGACAGGACTTGTCATAAGTTTTTGCAGTTGTAGTGCGTGGTCCGTGTTCCATGTTGGTTTACGAATTGTTTTATGTTCCATTGCTTTGCTTTATAAGACTTTGAGATTCTGGAGCTCTGAGATGCAGGACTCAGGATTCTCTATGATTCACTACTTTGATCGTTAGATGATATGAATCTTGAATGTTGATTTGATTTCTCCAGGACACACCCTGGATGTTCCTGTGGGGGCCTCCCTGCCCACCGTTCAGCGTGCTCAACAGAAAGAGGAAGTATGGCAACCCGTTTGACTCTCCAGAAGGCTCAGTTTTTCTGGTTGGTGCAAGATACATTCGAAGCTTTGCAGCACACAGGTGCATTCCACAGACTTCATGGATGGACATCAAGTCACACTATAGCCACCACTACACTACACTGTCACCTACTACAAGCTAAACAAGGTAAACAAGAAGAATCGTTGCGACTCAAGGCCACTACTGTATCACTAATCTTTCTGACCCACATGACACCTGCACCTTCCATACTTTTTACTCCGAACTAAGGGCAGACCAAACCTCCCATTGTCATGATGGAGGAGGCTGGGAATGTTTCTTCAAAACAAGTTCGATTTCTGGTAAGAATTTAGAATTCAGAAGTGTGACAATGACTGGTGAGTGAGTGAGTGAGTGAGGCCAAAACTAAGACATTTCCAAAGCTCCAGTCCACAAGTCAATCAGGGTTCAATCAAAGTGAAAGCAAACAAGGTTTGAACTTTGCAGTGTGCAGGTGATGGGAGTGACGCACGATTTCCAGACAGAGGATGGAACTCACGATCCCTTCTTCGACGAGTACGCGGTGCGCTGGGAGACAGTGACATTGGGTGGTTAAGGGTGGTTGGTTTGCTTATACTGTACCTATGCTGACGATCCTGATGCTTGTTTCTATCCACTCAAAGATTGAGACGGGGACAGTGACGGTGACAGTCAGTCCAATAAATACAGGGGATCAATGGAAGGCAACCAGCAGCAAACACACAAAAGGTTCTACAAACAAATATGATGCTGCCAACCTACAGACTTACACATTGAGTAAGGCCAGAATCACAGGACTTACGACTCACGACTCATGTCATTGAACTTTAATTTAGCCCCGGCCTCAACACTGAGACTGAGAGAAAGCTGTTCCCATAGATGGCCGAAGCCTCTAACTAGACTAGACTAGACATATTTTTTTGGTAGACCAGTAGACTGACCTGAGGGATAGTTGCCGCCATGCCATTTGCATCTTTGTGGCGGAATGTGGAGGTTGAGGAGGATCCTACCCCCCAGGAGGAGCTGGCAAGGCTTCGTCGTGTCCAGCGCACTGCGAAAGCAAGGGAAGCTGCTACAAAAGCCAGACTCTCCAAAGCAGGGTCCTTTGAGAAAGGCGGAAATGCTGGTACTTGTACAGGCACCCCACTTGAAACCAGAACATCCATTTTACAAAGGAACTACTTCACCCGCCATCTCTTCAACCCACAGGGCGTGTCAAAGGAACATGACTACCAAAAAATGGGATCTGAACGGGCTCGGTGCACATTTAGCCTGGTGAAGTATATCATAACAATGGTCCAGCAGTTATTCAAGGGATGCGATGGCCAGCCAGTGCAACATGTCATTAGTGTAGTTATTGCTGATGACACAGATACGCGTTTGAAGGGAGCAGGATTGCGGAGCACTATTCACAGTGTTTGCAACACAGTTCAATACGCCCATTTTCGATACAGCCCAGCTGGCAAACAGGAATGTTGGGAAACAGTGAACATTCCTACACCAATGTTGGTTTTGGCGAGTCCCCAAGCTGGGGACATCCACGCAGCCTCTACAGCGATGTCACTGGTATGTGGACATGTAATTGGGGGAATGCTGCAAAAGTTTGGACTTGCAGAGCAAGATGTGGCACCTTTGCATGCTTTCCGAACTGAAGTCGTTGTTGGCGATGCCCTTCAAGCCAACGCAGCATCCTGGAAGATTGAGAGGAGGCTCCTTGGATCTTTGCGGGAGAAAGCTGACCATGAGCGTGTCAGCGCCATCCAAGTCCAATGTTTGGTCCACCAGCTGAACCTGATACGCAAGCCGATGGTCCTGAGCATCTCTGGCTTTTGGGCCACACTGGTCAGAATGGCCCATTGTTTTGAAGCATTCTCATTTCGTCAGAGTTTTGTGGCTTCTCTGGTGCAGGTGCTGCAAAGTGAAGACTTTCAGTGTTCCTAGCCTTGGATAGAAAGCATATCTACTTTTCATGCCAGCCTAGCCTATCCTTTTTTGAATTCACAGATTGACTCTAACAGTGGGGTTCAAACCGGCTCTATCTCTATCTAACTAGTTCACACGCATGTTGCAAATTTCAAGATCATTCCACGGCCCATCTATTGCCAAGGCATTCGAGTGCACGAGCTTCCAGAAGATTTCCCCAAATGGAAGAAGCGGGCAGAATGGATTTCTCGAAACTACCAAGCGCCAGGAAAAGAGGCAGCAGAAGCCGTTAAAAAGATTCTCCAGTTTTTCAATGGAGACACAAGTTGCTCAACAATGGTCCACTGGTGCACGGG